CTTATCAAAGAGAGCACAAAAAGGGCCAAACAAGGCCTAAGAGGGAGAGGTCGACCCCCAACACCAAAATGACCCGAATGAAAGATCTTAAGCATGCAAATACAAGACTTTTTTCAGTTATACACAAAGCTTAAATCAGTATGCAAGATAGGTTAAAGACTAGTGCAAAATTGGGGAATATAAAGTAAATAGTGTTACCCTTGAACAGCAAGCTCTGCCATCTTCTTCTGATCAAAACCGACCCAAAGCTCCAAGAACAAACCCTCAAGACCTCCAAAGTTGAAGTATGGTGTAATAGTATGTGACTTAGTACAAAACTAAGAACTAAATACACTTTTAGGCCCTCAAACACACACAAATGAAGAGAGAGAGGGACATATAGAGAGAGAAGATGTATATATCAGAATATATATTGTTTTAGGTCTGATTTTGCTGAACCTCTTCAAAGGAGAGGGGAGGGCTCCTTATATAGACAAGGTAATGGCTCCAAGCTTCGTAGAGAAGCTAAAATAAAAGGGTCAAGGGGGTCAAGCTTCCACGGGAAGCTAACCCAAAGGTCCAAGCTTCTTGAGGAAGCTAAGACAAAGGGCCAAGCTTCCTCAAGAAGCTAGATCGAAAGAGGTCAAGCTTCCATGAGAAGCTTGAGTAAAAGGGTGCAAAGGTTCAAAACAGCCACACACGTGTATGAAGGGGAGGGTCCGTGCACTCCAGCTGGCACAACTGGCTTGCACCATACCTGAAAAAGGCAAAAAGGAGGTACCGGCCCGAAAAGGAGACAATCGGCCAAATAAATGGTCGGCCGGCTATTATAAATGGTCAGCCTGCTATTTTGCTGGCCATCCGACTAAATTGGTGGCCGGTACATGGCTTCCAAGGCCAAAAAGTGGTCAGTGGATGTCTAGATTGAATCCCCAGAAGTTAGCTTTCCAACGGCACAAACCTTGCATTAAAATTCCTCCTGTGCAAAAAGTTATGCCTGTTTTTGTGAAGCCGCGCAGATTCGACCCAACCGGATTGATCCCGTACTTCAACCAACCATATCTCCCCCACCCGGACTTGGCTTTAGGAGATTCTTGAGTGTAAAATGAAGCCCCGGAAGTAATATTTCCAATGGTGGTGGCCTCATAGCTAAAATCCAAGTATATAGATGAATAAACCCGATTCAGCAAGGGCTGCTCGACTCTCTTCTACCCGGATTCATGCCGAACTTCTTCCAAACTAGTTTTCTTCTCTCCTTTCCTCTGTTCTTCAACTCCAAACCCCTAAACAAAGTGTTTTTGAAAGATTTTTTAAAGATTTCATCTCTCTTTCATTCATCTCTACTTTGTCCTTGCTCGGTTTACCGAAAAGCGCAACATTTAATGAAAAGCGAGCGTCAGAACATCGTAGGAACTTTATTTTCAAAATATTTTGAAAAAAGAGGGTTTCAAGTCTAAAATCTTTTGATCAAGATTTTTTTAGTCCAAAAGGGGGTATGAAGTTGGGACTGGGCTCTCCTCTTGCCGAAGAAATTGAACCTTTGCCCTGCACACCTTTCTCTACCATGTAAACCATTAGTCGCGTCCAAGTCTTAAGGGCGGTCAAAAATGGGGTGTCTACACATATATGAACTTTACATCTACTGTGGGCAGTGTTAAGTTTAGCTGTTAAGGCAATTGTGTTGGTTCTTTAGCTAAATATGTGTGCAAAGCATATAAGCTCATTATTTGTTTGTATATATGCTTCAAAGAATTGTGACTGTTGCATGCTAAGGTGAAATGCAAGGTATGTTCAACTTTATTTAGTCAACACTTGATTTCAATTACTCGATTTTGTTAATCTTTACCCATTATGTTGTTGTGAAATGTATCAACAAACTGCATTGCCGCTGTAATCGATTTTGTGTGCCTTCTCCAATAGTTTATTAAAGGAAAACTTGAACATCTTGTTTGCCTTCTGGGGTTATCTTATGGACTGCCCAAGTTTCTGTACAACTTAGACTCATCATATTCATCATTGCTTTATTTACCGCGAGTGAATTTGTGATGATCTTATATGAGATTAATTATGTGAACTAGAACTTCAATTTTGAATTTGTGAACTATAGTAGATTGCCCTTTAAATCTGATTGGCTAAGAGAAATTGTAGGTAAATGGGAATTAAAAAGATATAAAATATCCCTTATTAAATAATTCAACCATATTTTGATGCATGTTTTATTCAACTCAGCTTAAACTCGACTTGAGAGGTCGATAAGTTACTGGCTGAACTGGAGGGTCATGCTTTGTATCATTTGGGTGTTGTTGTCATTGATTATTACATCCCTTCTTATTTCAAAATACGAAGGACCACGCAAATCGAGACACAGAAATAGAGAATCCCAGGAAGAGCCGACAGGACTACTGTACGAGGATGAGGTTTGGAAACCGTGTCTAAAAGGAATACATCCTGCTTGGTTGCTGGCATTCCGAGTTGTTGTGCTCTTCGTTCTTTTTGTCTCTATTGATTGCAAATGCGGCTGTTGATGGTGGTGAAATATTTTACTTCTATACTCAGTAAGTAATCCCTTTTTTATTGGTTTTTATCTCATTAATTACAAAGTCTTGCATATAGTTGAAGGGGAGATTGAAATTGATTGATTGGTTTAACATGATTGTCAAAAGTATAGACATATCCTACTTTTATCAAACTCTCTCTTATACATTTAACCAATAGCATTTCTTGTAAAGGGTATTTTTATTTTAGCATCATTGGAAATGAAATCAACAGGTAGATTTTCACATAACAGAGATGACAGCTTTTGCTAATTAAAGAATTTTATAGAACAATTTTGATATACTACAAAATTGTGCTTTGGATTCACTATGAGTTTGCTTCGGCGAATTAAAGAAAAGAAAAGAAAAAAAAAAGGTTAAAAGGAGATTTCTCTCTTTTTCTCTCTCTTTTCTTTTTCTTTATTGAGACAAAGTCAAAAGAATACTTGAGTAGAATGATAGCATAAAATAGGTTAAATATTAGAATATGCATCACATCAAGGTAGTTTTTATTTATTTATTTTTAATTCCAGTATTAAGTTTATTACATGTGGTTCAATTTCATCATTGGTTATCATAGGATTTAATTGGTGAAATCGGATATTGGACAGGTGGACTTTTTCACTGATAACCATTTATTTGGGGTATGTTATACATCCTTCTATGTGATTCTTACCCCCCCTCCCTCCTAAATTTATACGACACATATCACTCTAGATTTATGCTTGAATCGATTTCTTTTTATATGTCATTGCTCATGGACTTCACTTGCATAACTGCACTTGTAGTTTGGATCATTGCTTTCTGTAAGAATAATGTATAGAGAAGGAGAGAAAATAAATTATATATATTAAACTGTTGTATTACAAATGGTGAGGGGCTCCTTATATAGGAGAAGATACAATCCTTACAGACAATGGACAATGATGGCTCATGATGAAAGGAGCCGAAAACAATCCCAAAGCAATGCACTGTATTACATATTATATTAGCCGAAAGTTGCACTATATTTAGGCATTATATTATATTACTAACAGCCCCCCTCAAACTCAAGGAAGATAGGAATCAACTTGAGTTTGGAAAGAGTAACAAAACAGAAAAAGAAAAGAAAATAAAATATGATAGGAAACACTGTATGGTCGCGTTAGACCATTGTAGAAGATACTGTCTGGTCGTGTCGAACTGCTGTAAAAGACACTGTATGGTCGTGTCGAATCATTGTAGAAGCTAATAGGAACCAATGTCGGGACAGTTTATGGGGTCATGCCGGACCGATGTAGAAGCTAACCGGAATCAATGTCGGGAGAGTTTATGGGGTCATGCCGGACCGATGTAGAAGCTGACCGGAATCAATGTCGGGACAGTTTACGGGGTCATGCCGGACCGTTGTAAAAGCTGATCGGGATCAATGTCGGGGCTGCTCACGCAAGCGTCGTCGGAGTGTTACACGGCGCTAGGAAGGTTGGATGGCGCTGCTCAGTCGCGTTTAAACCAGTGGTGGTGCTATTTGGTGGAGCAAAACCGAAATCAGACGCACCCAAAGCTCAGAGTGGATGCGTCGTTGGGCCGAGGTGAAGTATTGACAACGGCGGGGCCTGTAGCTGCGGCGATGAACAATGTGCAAACTGTTGGACCCAACATTTGTTTGCATGGAGAATGAGATGGGTTGGTTATCCCCATCAAGATTCAGTATATCCAAATCCATAATAGTTGAACCCAAGAGACTTGTTGTGTTGGGTTGGTTACCGAGAAGAGAATCAGAATTAGCTATATGGAAAAGTTTTGCAGTTATCACTGTAAAGTAGAGAGAGAAAGTGTGAGAGAGGTCTTGCGAGTTGATAGAGGTCTCAAATTGGTTGAGGTCCAGCGGGCGGTCAAGGCAAGGTTGCCGCCCGCCGGAAGGCGAAGAATACCAAGAGCTTAACCTATAGCTCTGATACCATGTAAGAATAATGTATAGAGAAGGAGAGAAAATAAATTATATATATTAAACTGTTGTATTACAAATGGTGAGGGGCTCCTTATATAAGAGAAGATACAATCCTTACAGACAATGGACAATGATGGCTCATGATGAAAGGAGCTGAAAACAATCCAAAAGCAATGCACTGTATTACATATTATATTAGCCAAAAGTTGCACTATGTTTAGGCATTATATTATATTACTAACACCATGTGCGGATGCTACCAATATCATAAAAAAGTTGGTGGCGATAGAACCGAGGATTTTGATGTCGAGCAAGGCACTAATTCAAATGAATCCAATGGGGAAAAACACTTGGAATCCAATCAAGAACATCGAGTTCGCCAAGCTGCAGGATTTTGGGGTTATATCTTTCAAATAGTTTTCTAGGTAAACCCCTAAAAGCCAGTAATTGCAATTGAAGAGTTGTGAATCACGATTTAATATCCCTTCTTAATCCTTTAGCCTTTTTGTTGCCCAATGATACTGTTTGGTATTAATGAAGCTTGTATCATAGTTTTTTCCTATTTCAGAATGAAAATATTGATTTACTGAGATTATAATGTGTTAAAAAGAAAAGATGCATCAGCTAGTGATTTAATTCAGAATTGCATGAAATGGAAAAATATGGTTCATCTAGATAATCCCAAGTGGTTGGATAAGGTTCCGTTGAGCTCAGTATTGAAAAAGAAAAATAATAAATTGATTAATTAAGCACAAAATAAGAAACATAATAGCCTTGTTGCACATAGTTATTGACCTTTTATTTTTCTCTTCAATAGATGAATGCAGGTGTGGTGGTGCTCACGGACTGCGTCTTTTGGTTCATAATTGTACCGTTTCTAGCAATCAAAGATTACGATCTAAATTTTGTAAGTAATAAAATCCACACCTAGTCAAATTGTGCAACTATAACTATACGACAGATTGTATCAAAGCAACATTTTTGCATAATTTAGCATAGGGTTATGTAGTCTCATAGATGCAGGGTATTTTCTGTTTCAATAACATAAAACTTTTAATATCATTAGATATATATATATATATAACTACATGAAATCAACCTCTTATGTGTCAATTTCTAAATCATTTAGCTTCCTTGAGTAAAACCCATATGGTGCAAAGTTGATATCATGCAAATCCATAAGATTCATCATCAAAACTTCTGTTTGTCTTCTAAACAGTGTGCTTAATCTTTGACGTGGCAGTTGATTATAAATATGCATACCATCAATGCTGTTTTTCTGCTCGGCGACACTGCTTTGAATTGCTTGGTATGTTGCAGTTCTTTTATCTTGATTTCAATTCCTATTTTGCTTAACAATTTAATCTTTTAGCCTTGTCTTTCTCTTCCAACGGTTCTTTTGGCTTCGAATTGCATACTTTTTCCTGTGGACTGCTGTTTATGTACATTTTAAAATGGATTGTCCATGCCTGCGTTTCGCTTTGGTAAACTCGTCTCCCTTTTAACACTCTTTTCTTTTTATTACAAAAATCTCACTTCTAATTTCCTATAACTGTAACTATTTGCAACAGGTGGCCATACCCTTTTCTTGATTTGTCATCTACATTTGCTCCACTATGGTATGTAATTAATCTTAGCAAATCACTCCTTTGATTTATTAAGAAAAAAGTCCTTTAAATTTTATGCTAATGGTTCATGCCATCAATCTCTTTGGCAATGATTTGTTGCAAATAGCAGCAAAATTTGCTTATGTTCAACTTGAGAGATATTAGCATTTTTGAAATTAAAATATTATCATCTATATATAAATACATATATATATAAATACATTGTATATGTCCTAATACTACCTTTGAAATTTTTATATTTTTAAAATTTTTTATATTATCATCTATATATTTTTGAAATTTTTTTCGATCAAATCCGGGAAAGAATTCTCATCTATATGTGGTAGAACATGAAATGTCCATGTCGTGGGCAACTATTTTGGTACTACCATCTTAAACTATAGTTTGTTTAACTCTTTCCTTATTAGTTTATGTACGGTTATATTTTGGGGAAATTGTTTACTGCTTTTGTTGACTGTGGCCCCTTTAATTGCCATAAACATAACTTTTGACATTTTTTTTTTTATTTGTAGATGGTTTTGGACATACAAATGTGGATATGATTTTTTTTGACAAGTACGGAAGGGCATTGTTTTTATACGTCTACCCGTATATATAGTGGTTTGTACAAATTACTTTTTTGGTGTGTTAAATATAAGCTAATTTGGCATGGTAAAAATTAGTATATATGCTAATTTAGGTTGTGGTACATATGTCCTTTTTGTTAATTAATTTGGTTAGTCCTGTATTATGTATGAAATGAAATTATTGACGTTGGATTAGACTTGGTTCGTATAGAATTTGTGTTATATATAGAATTAGACGTTCAATATTAATGTTTTGGATGGTTGGAGCTAAAATGTGTGCACATTGTTGAATGCTTGAATGGTTGATAATATATTTAGCGTTGATGGATTATATTGGTTATACAGGATACATGTTGTACTAAAATTGGATACAGGTTGTTTAGAATTTTTTTTAAAAAAAAAAAAACAAAAACAAAAAGTATTTGGCCACCAAATATTTTGGTAGCCAAATATGTAATCAAATGTTTTGGCGACTAATAATTTAGTAGCAAAAACATAACCAAAAAATTTTTTGTGACTAAATAGTTAGTAGCTAAAACAATTGAGAATGAGAGAAATAAACTATTGGCCACTAAATTTTTTAGTCACGGAAAAAAAAGGATATCATTTGGCGACTAAAACATTTGGTGGCAAAAAGTAATGTATTCCATTGGTGACTAAAATATTTAGTCTCTAATAGTTGGTTAAAATTTTTATGTAGAATTTTTAGTGACTAAAAAACTTAGTGGCCGAAATGTCACGTTTGCCGACTAAGTACGGGTTCGTTGCCAAATGTTAACTTTCGGTGACTAATTCTTTCGTAGCAAAAAGTAATACCTTCCCCGACCACACGAATATTAGTAGTCAAAAGTCACATTCGGCGACTACTGGTTTTAGTGGCGAAAAGCTAACATTTGTCAACCAAAAGAAGTTTAGTAGGCAAATGTTACACTTTCGGCGACCAAATAAAGTTTAGTCACCAATACTATTGCCGACAGGATATAGGTCACGAACTTGGCGACAAAACCTTTTAGTCGCTAAATCGTTTTAGCGACCAAATTTTTGACTTTTGGCGACCAATATTTTGGTAGCCAAAAATGACATTTCTTGTAGTGAGTGTCACGGATCCAACAATACAATCTAATCTACAAAGTGGACAGGAGAGAAACTCATCTCATTACAAAAAAATAATAATAATAATAATAATTGATTTGTGATCAATGAGTTACCGTTATAGTTATTTATTTATTTGAATATTTTTTTAAATCAAAATAAGTAATATGTTTTTTTATTATTATTTATTAATATTTTAAAATTTAGTTAAGAAATTTATATATTTATTATTAAAATATGACTAATATCTATGATGTCAATATTAATTTATATTTTCATCTCAAAAACTATTCAAAATTTTGTAAAACTATTAAGGTATAATTTTATTTTTTCCTATTTTGATGAATTGCACACCAACCGCTAGTTCAATATAAAATAGAAGCTCTTTGCCCAATTTTGTAATTAAACATATTAGAACAATATTACTCAAGTGATAATTGGGGTTGTTTGTCAGAGTTTGTAGGAGTGATTATATTTTATTTTAATTTGACAATTTGTATCAGATTGTTTGATAGAGTTTTTGCTTATAATTTATTAGGTAAAAATAGTTTAATAAATAAACTAAAAAAAAAATGATTATTTAGAAATTAAGAAATGAGTACTTTTAACTTTTTTTTTTCTTATTATTAGCTTTTTGCTTAAAAAAAATTCACCAAATGGAGCCATTGTGGTGCAACTAGTTCAAAAAAAAAAAAAAAAAAAAGAAAAAAAAAGAAGAAAAAGAACAGGACAATCTTTCACAAACCAAGAGGTCAAAATTAACTTCCCACAACCTGAGAGACATGATTGTTGCTTGCTACATTTAGAAAAGCTTCAATTTCTTCCACTGCATTCACGTGACAATGTTTTATTCATGCCTTTGCTAATAAACATTATTTGTTTATTTTGCTTAGGCCTTTGCTAATAATCACTAGGCTCATGATGTACAAGCCTCTGTATCACTTGACTCATAGTTCGTCTTGCATCTTTGTTTTCTTCTACACATTGCAATGCCACTCCAACCAATATTTCCATCTTACTTGCATCATATCTTCCTTTCATAACTGGGTCTATGATCTCTTCAAGCCATGATTCCTTTGCTACAGTTTCATTCATCTTTTCTCTCACCCACTTAACCAAATGCCTCTGTTCCATGTCCCCTGAATTGCCAGAACTAGGAGAATTTGTAAGCGGGCTCTTTCCAGTGACCATTTCCAACACCACCACTCCGTAGCTATAAACATCAACTTTGGATGTGATTCGGTGATTAAAAATCCACTCAGGAGCCATGTAACCTCTTGTTCCTCTGACCTTAGAAAAGCTCGAGTTATGTCCACCACCTCTATTCAATAGCTTGGAGAGACCGAAATCTGCAACCTTTGGGTGGTAATTAGAGTCCAAGAGAATGTTTTGAGGCTTCACATCACAGTGGAGAACCCACTCCAAGCACTCCTCGTGTAGATAGGCTAGTCCTTTCGCAGAGCCAACTGCTATATCAAACCTCTTCACCCAATCAAGGGTATTGGTTGCAAGATTTTCTGCTAAGGACCCATGTTCCATATACTCGTAAACCAAAAGTCGGTGCTTCCCTTCTGCACAATATCCCCAGACCTCTATCAAGTTCTTGTGGTTAACCCTCCCAATGGTGCTTGCTTCTGCTAAGAATTCAGCTTCTCCTTGGTTAGCATCGTTGAGCTGCTTGATTGCTGCAATTCGATGATCAGACAATACACCCTTGTATACAATGCCACCGCCTCCTCTTCCAATCTCTTCACCAAAATTATGTGTTGCTTGCTTTAGCTCACTGTAGGTGAATTTTCTAAATCCAGTAGCGATTTGAAGGTAGCTTTGTGTAGTTGCAACAGAATCTGGACGAGTTCTATACAAGAAGCAAAACACAAGACATACACAAATAATCTCAACTCCTCCAATAGCACTGGCGAACCAAACCAAGAACTGTAATGTCTCATTTTCTTGGGGTTTCTTGTAAGTTCTATTACGTTGCAAACTGACTGGCCGTGGGCAATCTGAGCTGAATCCTTGAACATGATTTGTATAGGATTTGAGTGTGACTTTCGGCAATTTTATGTACATGGGATCTGGAAAACCTGTTGAACGATATCCATTCAACAATAGTGACTTGGTATAACAATTGTAATTTGTAAACACCATCGCCCCAGTGAAATCTGTATTGAAACCCACAACAGTCACAACGCTGCAAGCATTTCTCCTCACACATCTTGAAGGTATAATTACTATAGAAAGTAATATCATAGCCATAAAATTCAACATGAGGAAGTTCAAGGAAACCAGCCTCACCATCGCTGCAAGAGAGACTAAATTCTGGTTCATACCCAAGAGATTGGTCTGTATGACTTTTAATCTTGTACCCTGGTATACAATAACATCTCCTTCCAAATTTCTCAAGGGGAACATAAGTACACAGACTGTTGGGTCCGCAGATACCATGGATATTGCATGGCTTTTGGATGGCTTGCCACGAAACGCTCCAAATTTTGCCTATCTTGTCTAGACTGTAGAGTCGAATGTTGCCATCATAATCCATAGTTAATCTTTTCTGAGTCCCAATGCCAGAATCCACAGCTGTGAACTCAAAATTATCGGTTGACTTGAAATGCCCTGAGGAGTTGAGTACCGCAGTTCTGTCATCGTTGTAACTGGACCTTAAAGTTTCCCAGTTGTTAGCCATGGGTCTGGTCAATAAATGCTAGATGTTTCAGGGCCAGCAAAGAGAAGACGGAGGACGTTATCATTGTCGAAAAAGAGGTTGTAGAAACCAGAAGAATAATTGGTTTGGCTTCGAGATGACACAAGCTTTTTGTTTTTAATGAGTGGTTGGTTGGGAAGAAGGGTATCGGTTGGTGAATCAAAACTTTGCCAAAGAATCAAACCTTCTAAAGTAAGAAGAACAAGGTTACCAGTGTCATTCAGTAGCAATTGCGCTGAAGAGATTGACTCAGTGCCGGTGGCCCAAACGTTGAGTTGGCCGGCATCTGTTAAGATGAGGTTGCCATTTTGCAAGAGGCAGAGCTTTGAGAGTCTTCCGTTAATGGGTTGGTCTCGGTTAGCCATCCAGACTATGGTGTGACTCCCATCATACAATGGTTCACTGAACCATATTGCAAAGCAGTAAGCATTGTCGCCGACAGAGTGAAATCCAGCTGAAAATACCCCCTTTGGTGAAATCAAAACTTGGTCTGGCTTCTCCACGGAGAGGGATGAGCCTTTGTTTAAGCTATGTATGTATGGTGTTGAAAATGATAAAGGTAGGAATGACAGGGTCAAGGAAATAAAGAGGATCAAAATTGGCATAGACATGAAGTGATTATTGTTATGCATATGAATTACTTGGAGTTGTGGTTCTTGTGGGATGGTGGTTGTGAATATATATATATAGATATGATATAAGAAATTATGTCTACACACGCCCTATTATCTCATGCCATGTTGAGATAGTGTGTACTGACTATTCATATTGGAGGGAAATAGAAAAAACCCAATGATGTCAATAGAAAAAAACCAACGACTATTATCCTGCCATCATGCTATTAATTGCTTTGAAAGGCGGATTTAAACTTCATATTTGAACTCAATGCAGGACTATGATGGCATGCCATCAATTGCGTTGAAAGGCAGATCTAAACTTCATATTTGAACTCAATTCAGGACTATTATCCTGCCATCATGCCATCAATTGCGTTGAAAAACGGATCTAAACTTTATATTTGAACTCAATGGCAGAGGCATAGAGGGTCCGGGGTGTCACGTACCCCCTCTACGTTTTGGAATTTTTTTTTTCAAATATAAATAAAATATTTTAAATAAAAAAATGATTAAATATTTTTTAGAATGAAATGTCAATGACATTTTTAAAATTATGAGAACAATAATAATTGTTTTGATTGAAAATAAAGAGACTATGATAAGTCATATTATTATGTATGAAAATTTTAATATAATGGTGATGTCTATCATTATTGACATGCAAA